CCACAGGAGGGCCTTAGGGACCCCGACGAGACAAAGCTTCCAGTTTCGGGAGGGTGGGGGCACCCAACCCACCCATCTGCCGTAGCCCTTCCCTCCTCTTTGACGGGTGCCCTAAACAGCTCCCCTCAACGTCCAGGCAGGAAGACGGGAGTGTACCCTTTGCGGTTAGGCAGGCTGCGTCGCCAGGCTGTTCCCAGTCCTTTCCTTCGAAGCCGCCCCTTTGCGTTTCCCCGGGCCTTGTCTATCTCCCAGCCTCGTTTCTCCAGTCCTCTCGGCCATGCCTTTTCTCCTGCTACACCCCTTTCCCTGGCCACTGCCTCACCCTGGGGTCCTGGCTGCTGCCATACCTCGCCCTGGAAAACCAGTGAGGAATCCAAAGAAGGACGAACAAGAAGCATTCAGGCAGGGTGTTTTATTCTTCAGGGACAAAGCTGGGCTCTGTGAGATATCCCTGCTGTACGGCCTAGAAGCTTAATCAGAATTCTCAAACAGAAGAACTGGAACCTTTTTTCCTTCTTCCTGGTTTATCTGTAGCTCTTGGGCAAACCAACATCTCTGTTCAAAAGAAGGAAAAACAGTTAGTCCAATCCTTTTCTTTTAAAGCCCAGTCAATAAAACCCATCTCTTTTCACAAGACCACCACAGCAAGAAAGCAGGAAAGCCAGTATAAAATGAAATCTAAATTTGTAGTACCTTTTCTTTTCCAAATCTAGCTGGAATTTCTCACTTGTTTTCCTTTCGACGAAGCTAACCACCAGCATTTCTCCTAAAGAAATTGTTGTTTGAAAAGTTTAATATGTTTACAGTGTGAAGTGCTAGTTCTTGGAATATCTCCAGATATTACTGTCCTGTGCCAGAACATGATCCCTGAGTCACAGGTGCCCAGAAACTGGAATGTGATGGCATAGAAAAGGGTTGGAGTCCACTGAGCCAGGAGAGGTATGGGAGGCTTGGTACAGTGTTTAATAGAGACCCATCACCACCAGGAGGTGGAGGAACAGATGGAAGAATACCCACACGGCAGATTCTTCTGCAGCCATTTAAAAAAAAATGAGCCACATTGACTTGGAGAGATTTCCTTGGGTATTGCTGATGCATAACATTAAGATGTAAAGTCATGCATATAATCGAACTCCAATATATGCACATTTGCAAATGTTTATGTAATAATGTTGCTGAATATCAACACACAGGATGCCAAGTTAAGAGGATGGGACATATACTAAAAAGCAATCTTTTAGCCGGACTCGGTGGCTCAGCCTGTAATCCCGCACTTTGGGAGGCTGAAGTGAGTGGATTGCCTGAGCTCGCGGGTTCGAGACCTGCCTGGGCAACTTGGTGAGACATCATCTCTACAATAAAATAAAAATATCAGCCGGGCATGGTAGCACATGCCTGTAATTCTGGCTACTCGGAAGGCTGAGGCGGAAGGATCGCCGGAGCCCAGCAGGTCGAGGCTGCAGTGGCCGGGAGCGGCCACTGCACTCCAGTCTGGGCGACAGAGTGAGACTCCAACTCAAAAAAAAAAAAAAAAGCAATTTTTTTTTCCTCTGAAATTCAAATTTGATTGCATGTCCTATAATTTTCTTCTCTAAATCTGGCAATCCTATTATATAAGACTGGAGAAAGGTGTGAAAGAAATTATACCAAATTGTTAGAGGCAAGGGAAATGGTACTAATAACATTCCCAGCAAGGATGAAATTAACCCATTTTAGTAAAATTATGCGCTTATGTACATATATAGACACATAAATAAGAAAAAAATTAGGCCCATCTTTTTGTAGGGAGTGTGCATCATATATTAAGCAAGAAAGGCAAATGGTAGAGTAATGAGTATAGTAAGCTGATTTGTGGGAAAAAGAAACAATTCAAACCCTGTGTATGCTTGTTCGGGTTTGTGTGAGCAAAGATAAAGCTTTGAAAAGATGACCATAAGGCTGTTGAAATTGGTATCTCAGGGCATGGGATTGGGGAAGTAGGGTTAGTTTTGCTTTTATACTTCTTTATATGTTATTATACCAACTAATTACAACAAAATCTAGTTGATGTAGAAAAACATCAGCTAGGCAAGGTGCAGTGGCTCACACCCATAATATCTGCACTTTTAGGAGGCCAAGGCAAGAGGATTACGTGAGCCCAGGAGTTTGAGACCAGCCTGGGCAACATAGCAGGGCATCGACTCTAACTCAAGATGGATTAAAGACTTAAATGTCAGAACCGAAACTATAAAATTCCTAGAAGAAAACCTAGGAAAAACTCTTCTGGACAAAGAATTTATGACTAAAACCTCAAAAGAAAATGCAACAAAAACAAAAACAGGTGGGACTTAATTAAACTAAAAAGCTTCTGCACAGCAAAAGAAATAATCAACACAGCAAATAGGCAACATACATCTTGGGAGAAGGTATTTGCATCTGACAAAGGGCTAATATCCAGAATCTATAAAGAACTCAAGCAAATCAGCAAGAAAAAAGCAACCTCACTAAAAAGTGGGCAAATGACACGAGCAGACATGTCTCAAGTGAAGATATACAAATGGCTAACTAACATGAAAAAATGTTCAGCATCACTAATTGTCAGGCAAATGCAAATTAAAACCACTATGACATACCACCTTATACCAGTCAGAATGGCCATTATTAAAAATTCAAAAAACAATAGATGCTGGCACAGATATGGAGAAAAGGGTATGCTTATACATTGTTATTGGGAATGTAAATTAGTACAACCTTTATGGAAATTGGTATGGAGATTTCTTGAAGAACTAAAAGTAGATCTACCATTTGATTCAGCAATTATACCACTAGGTATCTACCCAAAGGAACAGAGGTCATTATATTAAAAAGACCTCTGCACCGCATGTTCATCGCAGCACAATTCACAATTGCAAAGATGTGGAATCAACCTAAATGCCCATCAACCTATCAGTAGATAATGAAAAATGTGGTATAGATACACTATAAAATACTATCCAGCCATCAAAAAGTATGAAATAATGTCTTTTGCAGCAACTTGGGTGGAATTAGAGAATATCATCGTTTTGTTTTTGTTTTTGTTTTGAGTTGGAGTCTCACTCTGTCACCCAGACTGGAGTGCAGTGGGGGCTCCGGCCACCGCAGCCTCGACCCGCTGGGCTCTGGCTATCCTTTCGCCTCAGCCTTCCAAGTAGCGGGAATTATAGGCGCGTGCTACCACGCCCGGCTAATTTTTTGATTTTATTGTAGAGATGAGGTCTCGCCTGCCCAGGCGGGTCTCAAACCCGCGGGCTCAGGCAATACCACTCACCTCAGCCTCCCAAAGGCATGGGATTATAGGCTGAGCCACCGAGCCTGGCTGGAGAACATCATCTTAAGTGAACTAACTCAGAAACAGAAAACCAAACTCCTTGTAATGTTCTCACTTGTAAGTGGGAACTAAAACTAAGGATCTGCAAAGGCACAGAGAATGCTATAATGGACACTGGGGGCTCAGAAGGGCGAGGATGGGAAGGGGTGGATGGATGAAAAGTCACCTATCAGGTACAATGTGCACAGGTTAGGATGGTGGGTACACTTAAAGCCCAGACTTCCTCGCCACCATACAAAGCAACCATGCAACCAAAAACTCTTTGTACCCCCTGAAGATATTGAAATAAATAAAATAAAAAGAAAAATATCAAATAGTAAAATATTTTGAAATGAGGCATCTAGTCTGGAGTAACAGCATGAATTTTGATGCTATGTACATGTAGATTCCAGGCTAGATTCTGCCACTCCCTAGTTGTATAATCCTTGGGAAGCCACTCTACTTTTCTGTCTAGTGTCCTTATCTGTAAAATGGGGATAAAATACATGCTTATTGTTTATAATGAAGATTAACTGTTTATAATGTTATATTATTGTTTAGAATGAAGATTAACTGTTTGTAGAGAGCTTTGTATTATAACTGCACTCAGTGGTTAACTACCTCCAGTGCCAATTGTTGCTATTACCAGAAAATAATCTAGGATATAAAAATCAGGATATTCAGGGAGATGGCTGCAAACCCTGATTTGCTTGATGCAAACCTTGATCTGTTTTGAGGAAATTCACCAACCGACTTAGGATCTTGACCAAGACACTGCTGATCTCTGGGCCTCAGTGCCATGTCTATATCATGAGTGAGATAGAATGGGTACCCTCTGCTTCATTCATTTACTCAACAGTTTGGAAGCACTTGCTGTGCGTCAATCCCCGGGTTAGGAGCTGGAGACACAAAGATGAGAGGTCTGACTTTTCCCTCAAAGGTGACCCAGTCTCTGGGAGGTGGTGAAGACAAACGAGATGGTCAGTGCTATGAGAGAATGCATTAGGACACACAGAGAAGGGGAAGACATGGATGGGCAATTTATCTACAACGTTTCTGAACATCCTGCAGGTCTTGGATTTCTTCAAGACACTGTCCAGATGGTTCAGAGCTAGGTAAGCAGAGAACAGAGGCTGGGTACCTGATGACGATTTAGGGTTGGCAGGGGAAGTAGGATACCACACTGAGAACATCTCCTCAGAATGTCATAGGCTGCCTCATCTTCTATAAGAGATGTGGTCCTGGGATTGAGCTCAGACTTCAAAAATGGGTTGATGGTTTTGTTTTTGCCATTTAGTGCTGTGTTTAATGGACTTTGAGAAAAAGAAAATCTGTTTTTATATATTATCTTTGGATGGACATCTGTCTCCACCGTGGAAGTTTGATTTTCAGCAGCCTGGCTTGTTAGAGATGGAGGAGGAATTTCTGGCTTTCCGATTGGAAAATGTTTCTCAGACTCTGAGTTTGGGCAACATTCATCCTGCAATTGTTAATAATATATCAAATTAAAAAATGACTTCAGCATTAATGACCAGACAATACAGTATACTGACAATATGGTGTACCTATATAAACACTTAGCGATGCTGTATAAAATATGACAAACATTCTATTTAAGTTCATAGCTGACTTTACAGGAAAGGAAGAAAACTTCACATTCCAGGAATTGAGGAATGGCTGGTTGCTATGGTTTGGATATGTCCCCTCCAAAATTCAGGCATTGCCAATGTGATTGTTGAAGAGGTGGAACCTGTGGGAAGTGATTAGGCCATGAGGGCCTCTCCTTTGTTAGTGGGATTAAGGACCTCATAAAAGAGGTTTCATGCTGCATTTGGCTAGCCTGCCCTTCTGCCATCTGCCATTCTAGGGGACATCAAGAAGGCCCTCACTTGTGGGCCAGAGAGAGAATGGGATGTCTTAAAGAAGCCAATAGAACATACACAACTCACAAAACAGACATATCCACAAGGAAAACAAAACATAAGCATAAAACATTACAAAGCCCCATCCTAATATAGTAACTTTAGAAAATAAAAAATAAAGTAAAATAAAAAAAGAATGGCTGAGCATGGTGGCTCACACCTGTAATCCCAGCACTCTGGGAGGCCAAGGTGGGAGGATTGCTTGAGCCCAGGAGTTTGAGACCAGTCTAAGCAACATAAAGAGACCTCATCTCTATAGAAAATAGAAAATTTAGCTGGGCATGGTGGTATATGTCTGTAGTTCCAGCTACTTGAGAGGCTGAGGCAGAAGGATTGCCTGAGCCCAGGAGGTCAAGGTGAGTCATAATCATGCCACTGTACTCAGTCCAGGTGACAGAGTGAGACCCTATCTCAAAAAAAAAAAAAAATTCTGTTCCACAGATGAGAAGCAACGAGTGCGAGAACATCAACAATTCCCAAAACCAAAGTGTTTCGACATCCACAAAGGATCCTGCCAGCTCCTGAGCAATGGATCCTAACCAGAACACATTGTTCCTAATGTTAGATATAGAATCCCAAATACGGGTGGCAAAGAGATTCAGTGAGATCCAAGAGAAAATGAATACCCAAATCAAACAGGACAAAAAAAAAAAAACAACAACAAAACAGTCTAAGAAGTGAAAGCTGGTTTGGCCATCCTGAAAAAGGACCAAACTGAATTTCTGGAAATGGAGAATTCACTTCAGGAATTTTAAAACACAATCACAAACCTTAATAGCAGACTTGACCTGAAAGAAGAAAGAATTTCAGAATTTGAAGACCTAATTCAGCTCAGTCAGACAAAAATTTTAAAAATGAACAAAGCCTTTAAGAGGTATGGGATTATGTAAAGAGACCAAATCTACATTTAATCAGCATTCCAGAGAGAGAAGGGGAAAATGAAAGCAACCTGGAACAAGCTTTATAAGATATTGTTCAAAAAGACATCCCTTATCCTGCTAGAGAAGCTTCCATACAGATATAAGAAATTCAGAGAACTTCAGTGAGGTACTACATGAGACAACTATCCCCAATACACATCATCATCAGACTAGCCAAGATCATCATGAAAGAAAAAGGCAGCTAGAGAGAAAGGACAGACTACTTACCAAAGGAAACCCATCATATTAACAGCAAATCCTTACAAGTCTGAAGAGTTTGGGGGCTCATTTTTAGCAATCTTAAAGAAAAGCAATGCCAGCCAAGAATTTCTTACCCTACCAAACTATGCTTCATAAAGGACAATTAAAGTCTTTCTCATACAAGCAAGCACTAGAGGGAATTTGTCACCTCCGTACCAGCCCTACAAAAGATACTTAAAATAGTTTTAAACATGGAAATGAAAGAATGATACCTCCTAACACAAAAGCACATACAAGCATGCAGCTTACAGACCATACAAGTCAATCACAAAGCTGAGAACACAAAACGACTTCTTAACAATATGACAGGGGCAAACCCTTACACATCAATAGCTGATATGAATGTTAACAGATTAAATGCAACATTTAAAAAGCAGAGTGGCAAATTGGATTAAAAAAATAAAACATGGTCTGTTCTTCCTCTGTCTTCAGGAAACCCATCTTACTTCTAATGACACCTATAGGCTCAAAGTATAGGGATGGAGAAAGATCGTCTATGCAAATGGAAAATTTAAAAAAAGCAAGGGTCACTATATTCTTATTTTAGATAAAACAGACTTTAAACCAATAAAAGTAAAAAAGGACAATGAAGGACACTACCTAATGATAATAAAGGGCTCAATTCAACAAAAAAAATATTTATCTTAAATATATATACACTTAACATAGGAGCTTGAAGATTTATAAAACAATTTCTACTTAACTTAGGACATAGACAGCCACACAATAATAGTGAGGGTCTTTAACATCCTGCTTACAGCTTTAGATAGATCATCAAGGCAGAAAACTAACAAATCTGAGACTTCAGTTAGATACCTGGCCAATTAGATCTAACGGACATCTACAGAACACTCTACCCAGCAAACACAGAATATACATTCTTCTCATCTGCACATGGAATATACTCTAAGATCAACCATGTATTTGTCATAAATCCAACCTGAATAAATTCCAAAAAGTCAAAATCATACCAAGCATATTCTCTGACCAGAATAAAAATAGGTATCAACACCAAGGAGAACCCTCAAAAACACACAAATACATGGAAATTAAATAACTTGCTCCTCAATGATTATTGGGCAAAAACCAAAATCAAGACAGAAGTAAATAGATTCTTAGAAACAAATGAAAATAATGATACAACATACCAAAACCTCTGGGATGCCTTTCCATCTGTGCCAAGAGGGGAGTTTATAATATTACATGCCCACATCAAGAAAATAGTGAGATCTCAAATAAACAGTCTAATGCCACGTCTAAGGGAACTGGAAGAACAAGAACAAACTAGACCCAAAGCTAGCAGAAGAAGAGAAAAAACCAAAATCAGAACAGAAATAAATGAAATTCAGGCCAAACAAAATAAAAGAAAACAAACCATACAAAGGATCAATGAGTAGAAAAGCTGGTTCTTTGAAAGTATAAATGAGATTGACAGTCTCCTGGTCTGGCCAGATGGAAGAGAGAGAGAGAGAGAGAGAGAGAGAGAGAGAGAGCGAGAGAGAGAGAGAGAGAGAAAGAGAAAATGAATTTAAATACAATAAGAAATGAAAAAGGGGATGTTACAACTGATTCTGAAGATATACAAAAGGTTCTCAGACATTTTTATAAACATCTGCACGTGTGTAAGAGATCTACAGGAAATAGATAAATTCCTGGAAACCTCCCAAGATTGAAACAGGAAGAAATTGAAACCCTGAACAGACCAACAATAAGCCATGAAATTGACTTATTAGTTTAAAAAACCTGCCTACTAAAAAAGGCTTCAGACCAGAATTCTATCATACATAAAAGGAAGAGATGGTATCAATCCTACTGAAAGTATTCAAAGAAAAAGAGAAGGAAGGACTCCTCCCTAACTCATTCTACAAAGCCAGTATCATCCTGATACTAAAAAATGGCAAAGATACAACAAAGAAAGAAAACTACAGGCCAATATCTCTGATGAACATAGATGCAAAAATCCTCAACAAAATACTAGCAAACCTCATCCAATAGCGCATTACCAGGATCATTCATCATAACCAGGTGGGTTGTATTCCCAGGATGCAAGGCTGATTCAACATATGCAAATCAATAAATGTAATCCACCATACAAACAGAAGTTAAACCAAGAACCACATGATTATCTAAATAGACACAGAAAAAGTATTTGATAAAATCCAACATCCCTTCATGATAAAACCCCAGCCATTTAGGTATGGAAAGTTCATTCCTCAAAATAATAAGAACTATCTATGATAAACCCACAGTCAAAATCATACTTAATGGGCGAAGTTGGAAGCATTCTCCCTAAGAACCAGAACAAGACAAGGATGTCCACTCTCACCTCTGCTATTTAACATAGTCATGGAAGTCCTAGCCAAAAGGATCATGTAAGAGAAAGAAATAAAATTATCTAAATAGGAGAATAGGAAGTTAAATTACCTCTCTTCGCAGATGTTATGATTCTATACCTAGAAAACCCAAAAGAGTCCACCAAAAAACCTCCTAGCACTGATAAATGACTTCAGTAAAGTCTCAGGACACAAAATTAATGCTCAAAAATCAGTTGCATTTCTATACACCAACAACAAACAGGCTGAGAACCAAATCAAAGATGCAATCTCATTCACAATAGCAACAAAAAAAGGAAAATACCTCAGAATACATCTAGTCAAAGATGTAAAATATATCTAAAACAAGAACTACAAACACTGCTGGAAGAAAAAGATGACAGGAACAAATGAATAAATATCCCATGCTTATGGATTGGAAGAATTGATATTGTTAAGATACTCTTGCTGCCTAAAGCAATCTACAGATTCAACACATTTCCTATCAAACTACCAGAATCTTTTTTCAAAGACCTAGAAAAGATAATACTTAAATTCATATGGTAGCAAAAAAGAGCCTGAATAGCCAAAGCAATCCTAAGCAAAAAGAACAAAGCTGGAGGCATCAAATTGCCATTCTTCAAACTTTACTACAAGGCTATAGTAATAGTAACAGCATGGCACTAGTACAAAAAAAGACACATAGACCAATTGAACAGAATAGAGAACCCAGAAATAAAACCACTGACCTACAACCAACTCACCTTTGACAAAGTCAACAAAAACAAACATTGGGGAAGGACACCCTATTCAGCAAATGGTGCTGGAAAAAACTGGCTAATCATATGCAGAAGAATGAAGCTGGCCCCCTACTTAGCATTATATACAAAAATTAACTCAAAATGGATTAAAGACTTAAATGTAAGACCCAGAACTATAAAAATCTTACAAGAAAACCTAGAAAGCACTCTCCTGGACATCAACCTATGCAATGACTTCATGACTAAGCTCTCAAGAGCAAAGACAGTGAAAACTAAGATTGGCAAGTGGGATCTTATCAAGTTAAAAAGCTCTGTACAGCAAAAGAAACCACAACAGAGTAAAGAGAACTCACAGAATGGGAAAAAATATTTGCAAATTGTGCATTAGACAAAGGTCTAATATCCAGAATCTATAAGACACTCAAATGAATCAACATTAAAAAAACCAAATAACTCCATTAAAAAGTGGGCAAAGAAACGAACAGACACTTCTCAAAGGAAGACATATAAGTGGCCCACAAACATATGAAAAAATGCTCAACATCAGTCATCATCAGAGAAATGCAAATCAAAACCACAATGAGATACCATCTTACACTGGCCAGAATGTCTATCATTAAAACATTAAAAAAACGGATGGTACTGGGAAACTATGGGGGGGAGGGGGATGGGATTAACAGTAGCAAATATCTGTCGGGGGATGGGAAAACACTTCTTATCTACAGGGTGCCTGAATGAAACGTCATTGTACACCTAACCCTTAACTGTACCCCACAAAACCATAATAAGAAATACTGATTAATGAAAAAAAAAAAAAAGATCAAAAAACAAAAACAACAACAACAACAACAAAAAAACATTAAAAAAACAAAACAAAACAAAAAACAAGCGGGTATGGTGGTTCAAGCCTGTAATCCCAGCACTTTGGGAGGCCGAGGCAAGGGGATTGCCTGAGCTCAGGGGTTCGAGACCAGCCTGGGCAACTTGGTGAGAGCTTGTCTCTACAATAAAGCAAAAAATAAGCCTGGCATGGTGGCGCGGGCCTATAGTTCCAGCTACTTGGAATACTGAGGTGGAAGGATTGCCTGAGCCCAACAGGTCAAGGCTGTGGTGACTGTGAGCATGCCACTGCACTTCCAGCTTGGGTGACAGAGTGAGACTCCAACTCAAAAACAAAAACAAAAACAAAACACAACACCAAAAAACAGATGTTGGTGAGGCTGTGGAGAAAAGAGAATGCTTATATACTGTTGGTGGGAATGTAAGCTAGTTTAACTCCTATGGAAAGTGTTTTGTATATTTCTCAAAGAACTAAAAATATATTTGCCATTTGACACAGAAATCCCATTACTTGAGTATATACCTAAAGGTATATACTACCAAAAGAACATTTGCACTCATATGTTTATTGCAGCACTATTCTCAGTAGCAAAAACATGGACTCAACCTAGGTGCCCATCAGTGGTGAACTGGATAAAGAAAAAGTGGCACATATGCACCATGGAATTCTACACATCTATAAAAAAGAACGAAATGTCATTTGCAGCAACATTGGTGTGACTGAAGCCCATCTTTTTAAGCAAATTATCTCAGAAACAGAAAACTGAATACCACATTTTAAGTGAGTGAGAACCCAGAAATAAAACTACTGACCTACGGCCAACTCACCTTTGTCAAAGTGAGAGCTAAACACTGTGCATACATGGGTACAAGGATGGGAGCAACTAAGGGAGGGGGGCAGAAAAGGCAGAAAAGGGTTGAAAAACTGCATCAGGTACCATGTTCACCATCTGCAGGGAACTCAATAGAATATTGTATCATGCCATACACCTATGTAACAAACCAGAACATGTACCCCTTGAATAGAAAATAAAAAGAAAGTACTTCAGAAAGAAGAAAACACACAAAAAGAAATCAACGTAGAAAACTTGGTATTGCCATTGTAGCTAAAGATGAATTCATAGGGGCTTATTGTATTTACTTTTTACGTTCACATTTGTTTGAAAATCTTTGTAATTTTTTATTTTTAGTTGACATGATAATAGTACATATTTACAGAATACAGAGTGATATTCTGATATATGTATACAATGTGTAATGATCAAATCAGGGTTGTAATAAACATTTAAAAAAATTAAGATGGTAGTAGATTCTATAGCCATCTAACCCATTGTTTTCAGAAATATAAAAAAAAAATTGCCTCCCATGCTTTCTTTCTCAAGAAACTACTTGAGGACTTGTTATATCAAACAAGGAGAAAACCAAGAAAGAGGAAGACCTGACCTGAGATTTGAGGAACCAGATTCTAGCACTGGAGAGAATGGGAGCAATTCCCCAAATGATAATTACTCTATGTTAAAGGCTGAAAACCATAAAACCACCTAGTGTAGATGATTTCAGCATCTAATTTTTGAAAAAAAAAAAACACAAAAAAACTTCTTTTCATGCAAGGCCAAAGATGTACCACTAAACCATTGATATATAAGTAATTGCTAGTAGTATCCCTTTAAAAATTTATCATAACAAATATTAGAACATCCTAGAGTGAACAGTTTTGAGACTTTGTTGTTGCCTACATGTAGAACTCATTTAACCTCTCTCTGTTGTAGGACAGAGAGGGGAGAATTGCTGGAGCAGTGTAGCAATGACCTTGTGTGACCTTGTGTAGGCAAAACAAGGGGATGCAGTGCACTAGTCAGAGGATAAGCTTAAGATGGGAAAACAGAAAGCCCCTCTGTTTTCTGGGGTAACAGGTGGGAAGGTAGAGTGGGTGTGTGGGGATGCTGCCAAGGAGGTAGATCTAGTGTTGAGTGGTTGTGGATGTCTTCTTTTCAAGTAGGAGGTAAATCACTATCCCCATTTTCTTCAAAAGCAGAAAGCAGCTCAGGGAGTTTATACAACCAGCAAGGGGCAGAACAGCCACAATTCAGGATTTCTGACCACAAATCCAGTTCCAAGTTTATTAGCACTCCCTACCTCCCTGCAGCCTTCAAATAAGGAGGTAGGTGTCCTTGGTTGCTAGTCTGAGCATTTTGAAGGGGAGTAGTCAGCTTCACTCATGTAGGTGCACACTAAGTATCTCTGATTCAAACAGAAGATGTGGACCACTTATATAATAGATAAGCATCAACTAAGGAAAGCAAGCTGATAGGTGATTTTCATGCGTAGCTGAGGCTGAGCCTCACTTGGCTGGGGTAGCACTTCTCAAACTTGAAACACCTGGAAAATCTTGTGACCCCCCACATGTTCTGATTTAGGATGTCTACAGGGACAGCCTGAAATTCTGCATTTCTAATAATCTCCCAGGTGATGCTGATGTTGCTGGTCCACGGATCAAAAAAAGCAAGGAACTGATAGGTGGAGACAATCTGAATGTTTATCAACAGGTAGGTCAACAAGATGTGGGATGACCATATAAAGGCCGTAAGAGGAATAAGTGCTGATACACGCTACAACTACAACAGGGATGAGCCTTGAAAACATTACATGAAGTGAAAGAAGCTACTCATGTCAGATGACATAGTATATGACTCTATTCATAGTAAATGTCCAGAATAAGCAAATCCACAGAGATGGAAAGTAGATCAGTGGTTGCTGGAGGCTGGGAAGTTTGGAGAATGGGTAGTAGCTGCTAGTGGGTACTGGATTTCCTTCTGGAGTGATGAAAATGTTCTGGGACTAGATTGCACAACCTTATGAATATACTTAATGTTACTACAGGAATGGTAAATTTTATGCTATGTGTATTTTACCACAATAATAAAAATAATAATAAGAAGAAAGCAAAGAACTGGTCTCTTTAGTTTTGGCATTCTATAGTTCTAGGGATTAAGGGTTAACAGAGAGGTAAACAGCTCTCTGCTCAAGGAGGAAGAGATGGGCTTCTTGGAGAGAAGACTTGGTAGGTTTCCCAGAGGGAAATCCTCTATCTTGTGGAAGAGAGTGGAGCGACTTGGCACAGTGATGCATTCACAGATGCTTGGGGCCGTGGAGGAGTAGTCTGTGAGTGATCCCAGTCAAAAATCGATCAATCAATCACATCCTTGCATCTCCACAGAGTCTCTTTTTTGTACCTACCCCTGATATCAGGAAGATGGAAAAAATCACTCAGCTTTGTTCAATGTCTAATAGAGCTCACAGTCTAATAGAAAAGACTCCCATGTGGGTCAGAAAATGATTAAGACAGGCCCTGTTGAGGATCAAACTGCAATGTCCAGGCCCTGAGGTTGGAGATGGTCTTAGGTGATTGGAGCGTGGGGAATGGTCAAGGAGGTTCCCTGAAGGGCTGGGCACAAATGAAATTCAGTTATGTGTGCAAGTCACTAAAATATTTTTTTGAACAAAGCAAGCATTTTACATATCCATACTATGTAAAATTGGGACCAGAACCTGCCTTTCATGTAACACTTTTGGGAATGTAGACTAGCTATTGGCACCATTAGAAATTTACTAATTGCTACTCACCATATGGTGGGCATACTTGTTTCCTGGAATAATTTGCTTGCAATAAGAACAGTAGATTTTTGTTTCAGGAGTTGACATTCTTTCTCCTGAATAAGTACAGAAAACACCACAAATGATTGCCCTTGACAATGACTAGCCCAACTTTCCCACAACTGCCTACACGGCCTATACTCATGAATATGAACTGCCCCCAGGCCTGCCTGGCCTTGAGTTTCCAGTACTACCAGTGTCCTGAACCACACAGGTATCCCTTGAGGGATTTCTTTATGGCCACAGATGAGGCCCACTTGGGGCAGTAGCTGCCCTGATGGAGAGATATTTTCCTGGAACAGGATGGGTTTCTAAGATGAAGGGAGCTCTAACCCTGATGACACTCCTGTTGGATCTGATTGCCCTCTCATTCAACCAGTTTCCAAGCTCTGTGATCAGATGAGGTGTTGATTGTATATATCTTTGTTGATGGTGTTAAAGCTATGTTATGTTGTGTTACATTGATGAAATTGTGTTGCATATTGTGTTGAAGGCTAGCTATGCTGAAATGAAGGAAATGTACATGAATCTTGTACTTTCCAGTTTCTCACTGGCCAATTTTGACCTTGGGTATATAGTTTACCAGGAGAGAGTTACTGTCCAAGGGTTTTAGACTTTCTCCCATGTTATCAAAACAGCAAATGAAATCAACAAAAGATCTACCACATTGATGAGTGTATCCTCAGTAAATATACCCTCATAAAGAGGTAACTGGGTTGGGTTGGGCACAGTGACTCATGCCTGTAATCCCAGCATTTGGGGAGGTAATGGTGGGAGGATTTCTTGAGCCCAGGAGTTTGAGACATGCCTGGGCAACATAGCAAGACCTTGTCTCCGCAGAAAATAAAAAAAAATTAGCCAGGTGTGGTGGTGACAGATACTTAGGAAGTTGAGGTGGAAGGGCTTGAGCCAAGGAGGTTGAGGCTGCAGTGAGCTTGTGCCAATGCACTCCAGCCTGGGAGACAGAGGGAGACTCTGACTCAAAAAAAAAAAAAAGATAACTAGGTCAAGAGAACATAAAATGGTACCAGGGAGACAATACACAGGCCCAAAGTCCAGGAGCCGCAGCTAGCTCTGTTCCGGCCATTGCTGATAGTGGAGAAAGCTCTAGAGTTGGTGCCAGAAAACATGGATGTCCATTTTTATTTCTGCCTCTAGCAAGCCCCTGCTTTATTCTGTGTGTAGGTTTCTCATATGTAAATAGATACAGGTCTGGCGGGCTAGGATTGTGCTGGAGGAGCCTATTTTCTAGGGCTCCCCATGGCCTCCTCACTCATTTGTGTGACTTCCAGGGCCCACCCTGGCCTTCTGGTCTCTCTGGACCAGTCATCTGATGATGAGCAGACGCATAAGAAGGCCACTCTGATGCATGGTTAGAACCAGAATAGCCAGATGAGTTGAGACCCACACAACAAATATCCTTACCATCTGTCCTATTGAGAGTTTCCATCCCTTGCATCCCATCCAGGAGAGGCTCTGGCATTTGAAGTGTCTGTCTTCCACCCCAGCCTGTGTCCTCACCTTTCCCGAGCCAGGCCTCTTTGCTCTGACAGACATTTTTGTGCTGGGCCAGCACTCGGAGCATGATGTACAGGCCACAGTCTGGGCAGAACTCTGTCTGTTTGCCACAGTAGGACTCGTGGACCTTCAGCTTGTTGAGCTGCACAGCCAGGTCGCAGAACTGACACTCAGTGGGGCGCTCCTGGAATTTCTTGGCCTGTGGGAGGCAGTAGGAAGAGCCTGATTGGTGGCCTCTTTGCAGGCAGATCAGGGATGTGTGCCCATCTCCCTAGGGAAGTGAAACCAGTAAGAAAAAGCAGATGAGAAGGGCCAGAGTGAGGGACTGCCCTCTGGAAATCTGGCCTCTCTTGTATTCATGGACCATGGAAAGCCCTTCTGACCAGCTTCTGTGGGTCAGCAGGACCTCTGTCTCTGTGGTGGGCTAGTTTGCCACTGCTCTCTGACCCTACTGGTGGAAATTTCTATTAAAATTGTCTTAGGCTGGGCGCGGTAGCTCAAACCTGTAATCCCGGCACTTTGAGAGGCCGAGACGAGAGGATTGCCTGAGTCCTGGGGTTCAAGACAAACCTGGGCAACTTGGTGAGACCTTGTCTCTACAATAAATTTTTTTTTAAAAGTTGGGCATGGTAGCACACACCTGTTGTTCCAGCTACTTGGAAGGCTGAGGCAGAAGGATAGCCTGAACCCAGCAGGTCAAGGTGTGGGGGCCGTATGGTGTTGCATGTGTGGGCAACAGAGTGAGACTCTGACTAAAAAAAAAATTGTCTTAAAGGAGAAAGCACACATGATACTCACTTCATGAAATTCCAGCAAGGGCTTCTGCATGCTTTGCTGACACATTGCACCTGACCTAAGCACACACAGAGACAGAGAGAGAGAGAGAGAAAGAGAGAGAGAGAAAGAGAGAGAGAGAGAGAGAGAGAGAGAGAGAGAGAGAGATGTGGGTTGCATCTAGCCCTCATTGCCTTTCCCACATTGGCTCATGGAGTTCCAGGTTTGGGTCTGTGAGCTCCTGAAGGACAGGGACCAGGTGTGTCACTACCTCAATCTCCCTCTAGCACCCAGCCTGGTGTTCAAGAAGGGTTTGCTAGACCAGCTTGAGTTGAAATGGCTGAGCTCAATCTCTGGAAAGACAGATGAGGGGAGGGGCCCCAGGAGAGATGGACAAGAAAAGATAGGAAAAAAAAATCAGCTCAACATGACTGTCTCCTTGGGTCCCACTTTGCACTTCCCCTCTTCACAAACCTGAAAAGTATATCCAGCCTTTCCTGAAACAGGACCCCTTGCCTTGGCCAGGCCCACAGCCTGTAATGTCCGGGAAGGACAAGATGGGAAAGCTGGGAGTAGGCTCAGCTTAGTGGAAGAAAGGGAGGATTCCCACATACTCTTCACCGGGCTGCAGGTAGAGGGACTAAATGACTTCTCTGGCAGCCACATGAGTCACTGCAGGGAGGACTGGACCCTTGCCCTGGCTCCCAGACCCCCGTCCTCCTGCCATTCCCTCACCTGCTGGTGCTTGTCCCTGCAGTGCTCCTCCATCTTCACCCTGGGGATGGGCTCCTCACACTCTGGGCATATGACCAGGAACTGCAGGCAGTGGGCCTCATGGAGGGCAAAGTGGGCAGAGGCCATGCTTCTTTTGCTGCAGGATCAATGGGCGCCGGCGGGGTTGGGGGGGGAGGGAATAGAACTATTTTCGTGGTATAAAACATGGAACCATATTTCACATCCAGGACTAGATCTTCAGAGGCCTTAAGCACTGCAAATATGATGATGATGACACCACCTGCCCTACCCTCCCTATGTTGGTCCAAGATCAGAACAAGGAACAAGGAACGTGTAAGCTCTACAAAATTCTTACACTGTCCAGGGAGGTGAGTAGGAAGGAGCAGGAAGGAGAGATGACAAAGGGGCACGAGGCAACTATTGGGGTGAAGGATAGCTTCATTATCTTCACCGTGGGGATGGTGTCATGGATGTATATATTAATAACATATTTAAAATCTTATCAAATGCTACACTTTAAAATGTCTATGTCAATTATACTTCAGCAAAGCTGTTTTTAAAATGAAGCAAGTGCCAAATTCTTTCAAACATTTTTTCTGGTGCCCCTGCTTGGCACACGTCAGTTAGTAAGGCAGCCCTGCCATGCCCGTACTTTCTGCCTGGACAGTGTCAACTTCCAGCAATCTTCAAAGCAAGAGCTTCCCAAGTCTCTGAAAGGGAGGGCCATTCCCCCTCCAGCTTCCCCTGTACTGACCCACAGAGGGCCCAGGTCGCTTCTTGGAGACCCCAGAGAATGAAGTCGTCCGAGCCTCCCACTTCTGAGACAGGCATTCTTCTTTAACAAACCTCTTCACCAAGGAATACCTCCTACTGTTTCCATCAGCCCTTGTTTGTGGCAGCTTGGGAGAAAAACTTGTTGCCTGTAGCCCTAAAGGCCCAAAGGACACCTGGCAGTCAAAGCCTCACTCCTCTTGGTCTGAGCAAGCTCTTTGCTTCTGCTCTGTCCAGGTAGATGGTGCACAGGCTGTGTCTCCCCTTCCTCTGTTCTTTCCCCTCTGCCTGGTCTGGCCCCTTTCCCCTCTGCTCTTCTTCCTGGGCTGGATGAGAGACCAGAGAACTCAAAGGGAGCAAAGTTCTCTGGGGAGGATCCACTTGATCCCTGCCACAGGTAGGGGGCTTTGAGTGTGAGCCTCTTTGGTCAGGGTCTCCTCCACTAGAGTTGTGGTCCTGGCCTCCTGCTTTGCCCTCCCTGCCCTTCCCACAGTCCCCTCTCAAGGTGAGCGTGGGAATAGCCCTGAAGAATCTCTGTGGGCCTCCTTTCTTTCTAAGAATGGTATGAGCCTGGGCACAGTAGCTCATGTCTATAATCCCAGCACTTTGGGAGGCCGAGGTGAGAGGATTGCCTGAGCCCACGGGTTCAAAACCAGCCTGGGCAACTTGGCGAGTCCTCATCTCTACAATAAACCAAAAAATTAGCCGGGCATGGTGGCATGTGCCTGTAGTTCCAGCTATTTGGAAGGCTGAGGCGGAAGGAACGCCTGAGTCCAGCAGGTCAAGGCTGCAGTGGCCGGGAGCGTGCCACTGCCCTCCAGCCTGGGCGACAGAGTAAGGCTCCTGCTAAAAAAAAAAAAAAAAAAAGAATGGCATGAAGACCATATTACCAGAATCTCAATTAGGATCCAAGATCTGACAAATATGAGTAACCCAGTAAGGACAATTGGCCTGGCTTTTTTATTTCAAGACTGTCCTAGAAAGTATAAAATTTGGGAGGGATAGGGGAGACAGCCTCACCCAGAGATGTCCTAAGTGTAAATCCTCCTACCCTGGGGGCCCACAGTTCCCACTAGCTTGTCCTCCTAGGTGTTTTTATATCAGGGCCATTTTCTCCTCACTTTGGGAACAGACTTTTCCTGCCTGCCCATCTCACCAGCCCACCCAGAGTTAGCCATTAGAGAAAGTGCCTTCTTACCAGTTCCTGCACACCTGGAAGGCTCTTTCCATGTTCTGGTCTCTGGAGTCTTTCTGAGTTTCGTTTCCTGCAGACAAGGGTACAAAACTGAAAGTGTTCTAGCAGCCCAGCCCACAGCTTCAGGGAGGGAGGAGATTTTCAGAACTCTCGGCTCAGGGTTGCTCTGGGGTTCCTGTGGCTGGATACTCCCAGAAAGCCCCTCTGCAGCACAGCCAGCCCCTGCCATCTCCTTCGGACTGTGTTGTCACCCTGTGCTGCTGCCATGGGCAGAGTCTACCACCCTGAAGTGAGAGCCAGAGGTCAGGCTTCCCCAGGCAGCAGCTTATCCCCTCACCCCAACTGGCTTCACTCTATCTGGGTCTCCATCCCTTTTCCCGAACCATTGCTCTCCCACCCCTTTCCTGCTTCTCCCTGGGCCTTCCTCTGCAGGAAAGAGGGAACTGCTGCCTTGAACTTAAGGGCTGCTCTCTAAAAGTGGCTCCAGGACTTCCCGTGCTCTGCTCTGGTCTCAGTCAGTGGTGACTTTGAAAACAGAGTCTGCTAAGGAACTGGGGATATGGGGTAGTGTGAGCCCAGAAAAAGTGTTTAAAGTCACATCCTGGGAGTGGAGTCACATACCATTTGACAGCTTGGTGGTCTGGGATGACTACCTAGCTCCCTGACCTTCTCCTCTCTCATTTGTAAAATAATTATAGCAAATACTAATGTAATATAAAGGTGACAGGCACTTTCTATTGAGGTGATTCTATTATCATCTTTAGATGAGGAAACTGAGGCATGAAGGGGTTATGTGACTTGCACAAATCACACAGCCAGTAGGCAGTGTAACTGGGTTTTGCACCCAGGCAGTGTGGTCCTAGGCTTGTCTCTCCTAGAATGGTCATAGGGTCAGGAGATCTGCATTCAAATCCTGACAGTGTGATTAATTAGCAGCTTGAGTCACTGTAGTCTTTCTGGGCTTCTCTGATTCCTCGTGTATTGGACTGCACTGGGGACCTAGGGCACTTTGAGAGTCTAGATGCTCTCAGAAGTTGTGTGCAAAATTGCCCTCATATGAGGATGTGCCTTTTCATGGGGAGGCACCAATATTTTTATCAGACTCTCAAAAGGGGTCCGCACTTCCAGACAGTTATGAACAACTAGTCGAGTTGACCGAAAGTTTTGGAACCATTGCAATTCAAAGAAACCATGTTGTCTGTTAAAGGTCAACACATGTCTAAAATAACAGAGATGCATAGCAGAATCAAGTGGATATAGAACATCAGCAAGTTTGTCTACTTGTGTTTGTCCCCTCCCCCCACCGGAAGAATCATGGTGCAATTAGTTAGAGAAATAAAAGTGATAAAACAGTGTATATAACAATGCAGTGAGAACTGAGAAAATTTGTAATTGCCACCCCATTAGAAACATTTGGATATTATGTACTCCATGTAAAAGGGAGTTTAATGTATACTTCTATTTCCCAAACTTTATTCATTAAAAAAAGTCAGTTTTCAACTGCTTCAATATTCACCTTTATTGTTTTATGAGCACAATTAATATATTAGTGTACACTTGGGGAATTTTGATTGTGGTTGTACACATTTGTATTTCAGTGTCAGCAAGCACACCAGATACATAGCTTTACAATAGCTGATACATACGTAGCAGCTTACCACTAACGCATAAAGAACTTCAAATGGATGTTCAGAATGTCAGAAATCTAAAAGCAATCTCTGTGGTGGGTATGGGTGATAATTACTAGAAGCATTTAGCACGGAACCAGGCCATTTATGGGGTTCTTGGTGCTGGAGGTGGGAGAATGGTAGCTCCCAAGCTTATGTGCACGTTGGAATCGTTTGGGAAACTTAAAGAAAACCATGGATGCCTGCCCAATCCCAGGCACTAGTCCACACGTGGACACGTGGCCTGAGTTTCAGAGATTTTACAAGATCCCAGGTAATTCCAATGTGCAGAGAAACCGAGAGCCCCTGGTGTAGGAGAGAGATGCTGTTCTGGAAGTCGGGTGTTCAGAGTTCTAGAGCCAGAGCTGTGGCCCAAGTCTTCGGCCCTTGGCTTTGCATCTGAAGAACCAGGGGATGTGAATGAATGAGTTTTATCCCAGAAGTGGAGATGTGTCACATGGGGTCAGTCTTGGCACTCAGGAAAGAAAGATTGGACCCTGTGTTACTGCAGAGAAGAGAGCCAGGATCAGTTGATGGGAGTCCTGGGAGGCCCTGAGTGTCCTTCTAGGCAAGCTACTGTGTCCCTGGATGGACCTGTCAGAGATGGAGGAGAACCGGCCCCAGGAGGGAGGCTGGGAGGGTCTAGGATGCAGTGAGCACTCGGCCCTCAGTCGCTGGGGAGGAGCCAGCTGCCCTGTGGGTGAGCTCGCGGGAAGCCCACTCAAGCCAGGATGCACACAAACTCTTCATGGGAGCCGGCCCAGGGTAGCACACAGGAAGAAAAGGACTGATGTCTTGGGATATGGGAACAGGATGTGGAAGCTGCTTACATTCCCTTCTTGCTCAAGAGATTCACTCTAGTGTGCACCCCCCTGGGGTCGTTAGCATTTTCCCAGACTCCAGAAACAGCTGTGCTAACAGAAGGACTCTAAACTACCATCTTGAGCCATGACAAGCAGACCCAGAGAATTCTTGTGATGTCTGCAAGTTGGGTGGGAGCAACCTCTGTGAAGAGGATCACAGGATTAAGGAAAATGCTCAGACATAGGCTCCAGCCTCCAGGCAGACTCTGAAATTCAGGTGCCAAATGAGAGACAGTGTGGTAATAATGATGATCAGAATGATAGGAGGTAATAGTGAATGACTGCTTCAACATTTTCTATGTTCCAGACACCATACTAAGCATTTTACAGTCATTATCTTTGTTTAAATCTACCCCTCAGCTCTAGTATAAGAGTTAGTAGCTCCGTTTTGCAACTACAGAAAACAGAGGCAAAGACAGGTTAGGCAAATTGCTCAAGGTCACACAGCGAATGTCAGAGCTGGGATTCAAACTGGGTTGATCTAATTCAGGTGTCTGCATACTGGACCAAGACCCCATCCACCTCATCTGACAGCTGGTCGTGACAAGAGCACTGGGCCAGGGGACAGAGAAACCATGGCTGACATCCTGATTCCCCTTCTCATCAGCTGGGCAAGAGCCTTAAATCCTCTGACCTTTGCTTCCTACTCCTGTCTTTCTCCAGGCAGTGTGTAAATATCAACAATAATTTTTTAAAAAATGAAATGTTTTTATACACTGTCCCCTGCTGAGATGCCCGGGAATGAGAGATGGAAAAGAGAGGTGTACAGGTGGGACATCTTAGGAGACAGGAATCTGTGATGGGGAAGTGGGGGTGGAATTAGAAGTGTCAGCAGGGCAGCTATTTCTTATTTCTTGTTTTTGCTGTAAATAATGCCTAATGCTTGCTTAAGAATTCTGGCTCGCATGTAACCATACTTGCACAGAGCTTCCCAACCCCTTCTTCCTGGGGAAAACTTTTAACAAGTTTTCCTTTGGTCTCTTTATCTATAGACACAGCTGCCTAAGGAAGCCAGATGGCCTGCCCCAGGTGCCACAAATGGCCCTGTGACCCCTTGCCAGATACCAGAGGAAGTTCAGATCCACTGAAAGACTGGTGCAGACCAGACCAGACAACCCCCAGTTACTTTTAGCTTCATTAGTATATCATTATGTGCGAAAATACCTCCCCTACAGGGAAATCGCTGCCATTTTGTGTACATGCAACCTACGGGGAAGCATGTTCATGAATCACGCCTGTGCCTCTGGAACTCACCCTGTTGATGCTTGCATACCTTCCCCTCCCTGCCCACAACTCCTCAAAACTCCCACATCCTCCACAGGGAGAGGGTGCCTTTAGAGTATGCGCTCCCCCTTCCCATTCTTTGGCCACTGAATTAAACCCGATTGCCTTTCCAATTGGACAATCTTTCTTTGCCTTTGATGCGAAGAACACAGTTTACGGGTGACAAAAGTGACCATGAGTTGTTTTCCATCTACATCCTAAGTTTCTTCCAAGATGTTTCCTCTTGCAGTCTGTCCCACCCGGCACCACCCTTTCCCTTCCCTGTAAAAATTCCAGCAGTTCTTCAAGACCAACTCCTATGCCACTACCAATATGGGACTCATCCCCTTTGTCTCTGGTGGTGGTTAGGTGTCTGCTGTCTTGACTCATCCCCATCCAACCACAGGTCTAGGCAATTTGAGAGCAAGCTCTTTCTGATTCATCACCCCCATCCCTCACCCCCTGCCTTCCTGGAGAGACCCCACGGGCTTTGTGCTTAGTAGGCAGTGCAGTCTGGGGCTTTGTAGTTGTGGGCAGCCAAATGCTGGCTGACCTGAATGGATGGGAAGAGATGTGTTGTGAGATTGCTAAGCAGAGAGTTAGAACTCTCTCCCCATCCATGCAACACCCTAGAACCCAAGGGCTCTCAAGGCATCAGCAATGGCCATTTTCTTTAGATTTTTCAAGATAACTTGTGATTACATAACTAATGCATGAATATACTTCCTTAAAAAAATAGAATGTCACAAATAAAACAAAATTTCTCTTTGACCACCATGCCTATTCCTGAGCCACTACTATTTTTAATCAGACCATGTATGCAGGAACACTCTGGTTAGCACAAAAGCCTGTCCCCATTCCTACTTCAACATGAATCAGTGCTGTGGGTTTGCATGATTTCATCACCTGCCACTCATCTTTGGCTGGTTGCCAACCTCTCCCCAGCCCTGATCTCATAAAACAAAACAAAACAAAAACAAAAACAATAACTAGAGGAGAAGCGCTCTGTTGTGGGCTTAGAATTCCTTTCCAGAACACTGTGGCTACCCGCCTGGCGGTTGTCAGGAGTTTCCGGCGGTCTCTTTGTGTCCAACTTGTGGGGCAGGGGAGGGGGTGAAGGTTGTCACCGAGAGCTGATCCCTCAGCTGTGATTTGGCCAGGCTGGCAATGTTACCTTCACGGGGAGGGGGCAAAGAAGGGGGAGCAGGAACTCCAGGCTGGACCAAGAAACAGCAATCATAA